GGAGAGAGCTCCCTCCCGGCGAGGGTCCACAGGCCAACTCGCTGGGAGGGGTTCCTCCCGACGGTGTGGCCTCTGCCCCTTTACGAGGGGCTGGTTTTTTTTTTTTCTTTTCTTTTCTTTGTTTTTTTTTTTTTTCTTTTCTTTTTTTTTTTTTTCTTTTTTCTTTTTTCTTTTTTCTTTTTTTTTTTCTTTTTTTTTCTTTCTTTTTTTTAAAAAAAAACACTCCTGGAAGAGCCTCGCCGCCCATTCAGAGGGCGGGTATCCGCGCGGATACCCGCAAAGGCTGGCGGGTATCCGCTGGCGGATGCGGATGCGGATGCGGATGTGTGTTTCCGCTGAAATTGTGAGCGGATATCCGCATCCGCGCGGATATCTGGATTCGATGCGCCCATCTCTAATTATGTCTGGTCCAATTTAGTTCAAAATTGGTAATGTGGCCCTTTGAATATTTTGTAAGCAAACATCAGAAGAAATTAGCTACATGAAAACAACTCAAGACTTTTGTGTGATTGCACTCAGTGACACCTTGAAACTGCGAGAAAAAGCTGTGCAACTATATGCAGCTGAGATGTGATATTGAAAAGCCACCTTTGTAATATCACTTGTCAACTGTAAACAATTGCATGACTTTTTCTTGCAGTATGAATGATACAAATATCTCTCAAGTTTAACCATGATATTGATGATGATCCCTTTCTCAAGTGTTTTTCATACACCAATAATGACAATTTATTCCAATTTTAAAACAATGTACCTCTTTCATCTGTCTTATGTGTTGGAATTTCACTCGCTCTCTCTCTCTCTTTCTTACTCTACTTGTCACTCATTTGTTTTGTCACTCATTTTATATATTCATTATGCATTATTGTTTGATCCCACAACTTGCGCTCCTTGTATCTAGACTACTTAAACCTACTAGATACAGAGATAATGAAAAACATTGGTTCTTAGCTATTTTTTCTGGTCCCGAGTCAACACTTGAGCCTCCTCTCAGCCTTAACTCAAAGCGCACTTAAGCCCGCTTTTTTAAGTATAAACAGCCTCTTACAGACCTTGTCTGCTTTCGGCTTTGCCGACTTTCCCTCTAAAACGCTCTAATTTCTTCATTATGTACAGAATTATACTTCACCAGGAAATAAACATGTTCAATGGGTGACAGATGGTGTGAATCCATTGCTTGTCATTATTTCAATCATACACTCAATAGCAGGGAAGCATCAGATTCTCCAAACCAATGGTTCTAGTTTGATGAACAGACCTCAAATCTAATAAGCATCATCACTCCATTTTTTGACATTGATCTTTTGGAATTCCAAATACTCAGAGAAACCCCTGCTTGACTAAGTGTAGTTGATTGAAAGTTGGAAGCTCTGATACAAATGGTGGTGGATGTCAATATTTATAGCATGAACTATATGAGCAGTATGCTGGATTCATTCAACTATGCCCAGCCCCAGGAAGATGAGTTTTTTTTGCAGTAAAAAAGGACCACAAAACCTGTTGACAGTGACTTGAAACTGCAAGCAGGAGCAACTTAGCTGCTAATTTCACATTTTGTCCAGTGAGAATGGATTGAGATGACCTGAAAAGATATGGAATTTCTGATTCACATCAAATCTGCATCCTGCACTGTAGATGACAATTGAGACTCAATTTTTGAGATGAAATCTAGTAAGTTCTAAATCAATTCTGCGCACCCCCGCCCTCTCTAGTTCTTAATATGATGAATATTTAACAATTTAGCCCATTTTAAGGCCTTTATCAACAACAATACAAAAAAATTTACAAGGTGAGAAGGTTTAGGACTTTCTGAACAATTACACACAGCTTTTTGATTTTTGAAGAAAAGTGTTGATAAAAACTTCTAGATGGGCTTTAAAATTTGATACATTTCAATCATGAACCCCACTAATAAGGAATTCACACAGTGTTCAGCCTCAACATGCTCTATTGTGATTAAAGTATTGCAATTTTTCCAGTTATTTCATGATGATGGTAATCTTTCACAATTTTCTCTATCACCATCTTGTTGAGCTTATCCATGAGGAAGGCGGTTATCACAGCTTGCTGACCCCCTGTTGACAAAAGAGTCTCCAAAGGTCTTCTTTTGAAATATCTATTAGGGGGGTTCAACATTGCTTTTTCAAACAGCTTTCTACACAAAACCATAGAGGTTCAAAACTTCAGTTTTCTGAAACTTTGCATTCCTCTTTATTTGGAACATTTCTCAAAAATTCTGTGAACTTTGTGACTTTGTGTAGAATGTTGTTCAAAAAATCAACTTTGAGCCCGCTGATTGTTTCCTGTCATATTTTTGTCCATTTGTGCTGTTTGAGGGTGTGATGATTGTCTGATCTAGTGCAAGTGGATGGCTTGAGATCCATGTTATTATTTTGGGTGGTTATTCTTGCAGTGGTGGCTGTGGTCTGAGTTGGTGTGAGGTTGGGTTGAGTTCTTTTTTTTTTTTCTTGAGTTTCCCAATCTGCTGGGGTTGGTATCATTCTCCTAATTTCCCCCTCCTCATCTTCTCTCTCCAGGTACATACCAGCAGAAGTGGCCGATGCCAGACGATGTCAGAAGACGAAGGACGAAGACTGTCAACCGACAAACTCGATCGACCCAAGCATCTCAAGCGACTCCTCGATGGGTATAGCCTAGCATTCGTCCGAGCCTATCTGATTGGATATGGGATCGAGGTGATCCCGTTGGTCGTCCGATTGCTGATCATCAAGCTGATCGGCTTCACCCGCCGGAGGCTGCCGACCGGTATGCTCTTGATGGGACTGTTCCCGAGGATCATCAACCTGCTTCTCAAGGGTCTGCGGCCGACCGGCCTGGCGATGGCCAGTGGAGTGGCGATCGGTGGCGCACGCCTGGCCGAAGGTCTGGTCCGGAAACAAATCCAAGCGATCGTCCGGCTTCTCAGAGCTTCGTCGATCCGCCAAAGGTTCAGCCGACTCGTGCGTCCATCATCAACAGGCCAGGCCGATGTCTCCCGTCGGCCCTCCAAGCTCGAACACACCGTCGTGGCCCTCCTCTCCACCTTCTCTGCCGCCTCTCTCTCCTCCTTGCTGGCGATCACCATCCTACAGTCCAAGCACACCAGTGCCCTCATGGCACAAGATCCACTGCATCCCACGATGACGCCCTATCCGACGCTGAACAGCCAGCCGAGCAGCAAGCAGCCCTCTACAACAAATGTTTCCCGGGCCCAACGACAATCACCGACGCTTGACTTTACGCTCTTCTTCACCGTCCGGGCACTCGACACACTTTGCCGGTCGCTTTTCGACAACTTCTCGCCGGCCTGGCTAGGCTTCTTGAGCCGATGTTCAGACACGATTCTCTTTCAACTCTGTTGCTGGAGGATCATGTGGTGTTGGTTCTATACGCCCTGGCGGCTGCCGATGAGCTACGTCAAATGGATCACCACGCTTGCCGAAATGGACCCACGCTTACTCCAGCTGATCCGATTGGCGAAGGCCAAAAAGTTCTTCTACCGCTCCCCAGCTCAATCCGACCAGATCTTGAAACTCGGCCAGGAGATCGCTGCTCATATGGGAAGACCTCCCGAAGAAGGCGACCCGCTCTTGATCGATAAACTCTCATGTGGTATCGTTCATGGTAGATTGGGTAACTCCGAAAGTTGTACCATTAACGTCCTCAGAAGATTCCTTAAAGCTTGGAAAACTAGTCTGGGCATTTACCTTCCCGTATGTTCCTGAACACTCAAAATTCCTCTCAAGCCCAATATTAAAACTTTGACTGAACAAACTCATTGGTTTGTGTTTTCTTGGTCTGGGGGGGGGGGGGTGTGATGGCGTAAGTGTTTACAGTCCCAGTATTATTATTCCAAAGGAAGAAGATACTAAGAGCGCCAGTGAGAACGGCGTTCAGGATCCTCTTAAACTCCTCGAGATCGGCCGGATTTCTGTCGAGTTTTGTAGGACTGACCTGGGCGGGAGTATGTATCGGGCGGTCACGAGGGATGCATGAGCTTCTGAACATGATCCTCAGAGGCACAGGGCTGGGCGATCCGATCACGGGGACCGATCTAGATGGACGGGTGGCCCCTCAACTGGGCAGTCTTCTAGCCGGCTTCAGCATCCTCATCGAGAATAAGAAACGTAGAGGCGAAATGGCTCTCTATGTCGCTACTAGGGCCCTCTGCGCTACCGTCGACGAAATCCTTCCCCGCTGGCTCAGAAGACGCATCATCGTTAATCGCTGGGTCTCCATCTGGGTCGAAAGAATCTCATTCTCTGTCTCGATCGGAATCATCACTTGTGCTGTAAGCTCTTTTTCCCTCCTTCTTATATTCGAAAGCTTCTTCGCTCCGTCTACGCTCCTTAAAATGAGAAGCGTAAGCAAACAAGAAAATGGAATCGGACAGCACTTCTCATGGGTTATGTCTTGTGAAAAACTGTAGATCGTCCATCATCCAGATTATGTCAGAGGGATAGTCCAAGGGATTCTGAAGTATGCGATCGGACCCGACTGGCCCAAAGAGCCCTTCCATCCCTCGTCTCCCCCTCCCCCTCCTCCCCCTGCCACTGCTGTTGCTTCAGCCATCCAAAACGATCCCACACTTCCTGTGTCCTCGAATCAGACCCATCTTGACGACTCCACTGAAGAAGTGGTCTCTTATGATGCATCCCTCCAAACTTAGACTTCCTCTCTTCCTCTCTACTCTTTTCTATTTATATATTTTTCCTGGCTTATGTTTTCGTCTTGTTCTATCGTATAGAGAGTCTATTTTGTGTGTGTGTCATTATGTCCTTTATCATTCCTCAATCATCATTCATGAATTCTGTTGTTGTACTCTCATTGTTATCTTTATGATTTTCTGAGCATTGTACTGCATTTGTGTGTTCAAGTAGAGTTGTATCTCGTTCTTCATGTATCTCATCTCATCGTCTCCACATAATCAATCGAACAATCAAGCACTTCCCTTTCCAACATTGTCTGTAGTTAATGCCTCAATTGTGCATCGAAGAAGCATACCTTTTTGAGGAGATTTGAAGAGTGAGAGTTCCCACGGATGAGCCGGACTCCCCGGGGGTTCCCTGCCCTTCCCTCGGAGACCACCCGGTTGAAAGTTGAGATATTGGATCGGAGGTTGTCTTCAAGCAGCACCAAACATAACATTTCCCGGACGACGATGGTTGCTGTAGGATTCTCATCGGCGACATTTTCGAGACGATTGCTAGCCCAGACCGGACCGAGGGGGTGGAGCTGCTTCCAGGCCCCAGGAAGAAGGACACTAGTCGGCTCGGCGCCACGTCTCGGAGGTCATCGGAGCTTGGCCCGCCCCGACCATAAAACTCTGGCCTTGGACGACCTCAACCAGTTCCGAAACATCCTCGGTTCCCGACCGGGAGCCGTGCTCAGCTCATTAGAAAGTTCGTCACAGTTCCCGAAACACTTTCTCTTTTTTTTGGGGGGGTGAGGAAAATAAGGTTGTTAATGTTTTTTTTTTTTGTTTTTGGCTTTTGGATACAATAGACGATGAGCTTCGGACTGACCCCTCCGATCTCGAGGCTTTCAATGTGGACTGGATGGGCAAATATCGCGGACATTCCAAGGTCGTTTTGAAGCCCAAGAGCACCGAAGAAGTCAGCCGGATAGTCTCGTATTGTGTCAAGGTAATAAATGAGTGATCTGCTAATTTTAACAACTGTTTTTTTCTCCACCTTTTTGGATATAGTACTGACAATTTTTTATATGTTGATAGAATCGGCTCGCGATTTGTCCGCAAGGTGGGAACACTGGGTTGGTCGGTGGCTCTGTGCCCGTCTTTGATGAGATCATCCTCAACTTGAGCGGCCTCAACAAGATCAGAAACTTTGATCAAACCAGTGGTATGAGTCTCTCCCTCTCTGGATCCATAAAAAGCTCGTGTCTCACACTTCCTCAAAACCCTGTCTTTTTTTTCTTCTTCTTGTGTTACTCTAGGAATCATTAGCGTGGATGCTGGTTGTATATTACAGACAGTCGACGATTTTTTGAAGGAGAAAGGGTTCATATTTCCATTAGACTTAGGCGCCAAAGGATCGTGAGTGTTTTCATTTTATTCCAACAACAAAAAGCATCCAAATATTAAAATAGAAATCAAGTTGTCAGGTTGGAGGGAACATTGCTACCAATGCCGGAGGATTGAGGTTGCTTCGATACGGATCTTTGCATGGTTCGGTGCTCGGTTTGGAAGTCGTTTTGCCTGATCAAGAGGGTACGATCCTGAGCAGCGGGATGAAGACTGGGTTACGGAAGGACAACACAGGTGAGTGCACTTAAATCCACCAGAAGCAAACCTCTATCGGCTGTTGATGATCTATCGTTTCCGAATCACAGGCTATGACCTCAAGCAACTTTTCATCGGTTCCGAGGGCACCCTTGGGGTGATTACCGGGGCCACCATCCTCACTCCGTCCCGTCCTGCGGCCGTCAAT